TTTGCTGGTTTTTTTTGTGTGTGTTTCTCTAGAGAACCCAATCTAACAACCGGCATACCTTCCAGCCTCAGAACAACATGCAAGCCACTGCAGTATTGACGGTTTAGGAGACAGTCGTTGTCTCCTGCCTCTTGGCACCTTGTACACAGTGGAACAAAGCCTGCCCCATCCTGCCCCGTCCCCATGATCAGCTCCAAGTGGGACTGCTGGGAGCCACAGAATTTTCACGGGCTCATTTTGGAAGGCGATAGCCAGGCCTTCCTTCCTGGTCTCTCTTACTGTGGAAGCTCGGCTGATACCTGTGCAGAAACACAGCGCCTCCCAGCCTCCAGGGACAGACGGGTGGTGGGGCTGTGTGAGGTCCACTGGCGGGACTCGAACCCCGGTCCCACACACGGAAGGCGAGGACTCCACCCCCGCTGCACTGCGCGGTGGACAGCCGACCCACAGACGTGCCAGCGGGCTCACTCACAATTCCGTCCGCGTGGACGGCTGCTTTTCTGACCGTACAGGGCCGTGGAGCTTTAAAAGCATCGGTCATAAACGTGCTTATCCTGTTTTGTTCCTCTATCTCTCTGCCATTTGACGCTCTGATAAAACTTGGAAGAGTTTTCTCTGTGAGCCCACATCGGCTCGGAACATCTGAAGCCCGAGTCGGACGTTGTGTGTTTGACCGTGAGCTCGGGACGCACACCAGGCGGTGGGGATCCGAGACATGCTCTGAGGTTTGGAGAAAGAGGAAGTGTCCCGCCCACGTTGACTCGTGTGGGTTTCGCGTCCCTGGGAACGGCGGCATCAGGCGTCCTGTGCAGAGAAGCAGCCGGTTCAGACTTCCTCCTTTGGGGCGCCACTTGCTTTCTCAAAGGAAGACCCTTGAGCTTTGGAGTGCGTGGTTGCCATGTGTCAACATTTACAGTATTAGAGATGACAGCAGCAAGAGTGAGAGCGTACTTAGCCATTGAGTGAAAAATCACAGTGAACCACTGCGACGTGCTGTCTGCTTGACTCTGAGTCCTGGCGCCCCCAAGACGTACAGAGCAGAATAGCGCTGCATGGATTCTCTGTGGCTGAATTCTCAGGACTCACTCTCCGGACCTTGCTTCCAATGGAACTCTGAGTGGACTTGACTCCAGCCTCTGTCAGCAGAGGTTGCATAGGCAAACTATGCATGCAAAGTTTAAGCCACCTGGCTCTGTTTGCTTCCCTAGTGCCAGTCTGTCAGGAATAGGCCACCAATGGGATGGCTTCAACAAACAGGAGTTTATTCCCTTACAGTCTGGAGGTTTTAAGTCCGAGTTCAAAGTGCCCGCTCTAGGGGCTGGGGGAAAGCCCCTCAACCTTGGGCTTCAGTTCTGCCTCCTGCTCCCGGCCACTGAAGCTGGGGGCCTGTCCTAACTCAGCTGCTCGCTGCTGAGGCTGACAAGCCCAAGGTTGACAAGTAAAAAGGCATAGTCCCGATGTCACCAAACCACACAGCAGGTCATTCATTCAAGTCCATCGTAAGTCCCAAGGTCGGCAGAGCATGGCAGGCTGCTGAACAATGACACGGCCACATGCAGGGTCCAAGCGTGCCATAAGCTAGAGACCATTTCCAAGGCTTCTCCTTATATTCAGGAAGCAGACCACATCCCTAAGGCAGCTACTCAGCTGCTTCCGGTAGATTCCACCACAGAGTTGATGACAGTCTCATCATGGGGAATAACTACATCCAGCTGCCCGGCCACTCAACCAGGACCAGCCAAGTTGACACACAAACTGAACTACCACAGGCTCCAAGGGGTAAATTAAAAAAAAAAAAACAAAGAAACAACCCCGTTACCGTGGAGTCAGTTCTCACTCTTGGTACCCTCGTGTGTGTCAAAGTCAAACTGGGCGCCCCGGGGTTTGCACTGTCTGATTTTTCAGGCATCGATGGCCAGCCCTTTCTTGGAGACACACTGTGGGTGAACTTGAACCCCCAACCTTTTGG